TTGCAACACCACTTATTAACCAGAACACATACTGTATATTTGAAAAGTAAAAACTTGTTGCTTGTATTCTACCATGTGGGCTATGACATAATAAGTTTTCTTTCTCTGTAGTTTAAAGGATTTGATCCCAACATACTGTGTGTAGCTACGTTGCTCTTTGAGGGTGACAGAGAGAAGGTTCTTCAGCATGAAAAACAAGTCTATGATATTGCCACCAAGTTTGGGTATGCTTTTCAAAGAACTTTTTCATATGAAGCTGAGAATTAACTATCCAGGACAAAATAGGATTACTGTATTACAGTGATTACTGTATGTGTATGTTCTCAATTGACTAGTTTGAAGTGGCGGTAATCAATTAGCTACTGAATGTTCCCTTTGATAAATCTGGCTTGTGCTGACTCTTAATAGGTAACTTTACTGAAAAATTTCAGCTGTGTATTGAGACAAATAAGTATTTGATTAAATATGGAATCGATGCTATTAACATGAAAACTAGCCTTGTAATAGCTTATAGGCATGGAAGCTGCTTGTTTTGCAATACTAGACTCTATTTTAACTACAGAAGGGGAAGACAATCATCAGGGTAATATTAAAGCTTTGCAGAATTGATGTGAGCATGTGAATACAAGAAGCTTGCTTAAAGTAGTTGTTGGTTAGTAAAAGAATGCAGGGAATTTCTGTCCCACAGACTATTTTCTGTTCTTACAAAGGAATAGAAAACATTCATTGGAGTGGCAGGCTAACTAATGATCAAGTAGCTTCTGTCCTTCTGCTTTGATTAAGCATGATTGATGAAAACTATCATTAAGTGTGATTTGTCAAGAACATACTTTTTTCTTTCTTAAAAAGTTATTGCTAATATTAGTCTCAACTGTTGAAATATACATAAGTATTGTTTTATCCATTTCAAGGCAATCCTTTCTGAAATTTGTGTTTTCATTGTGCTTTCATTGTACTACTTAAAATAGCTTATAAAAGTGGGATTTCACGTGAGCAACTTGCTAACATTCAGTTATAAGAATAACATTGTTCTTTAAGATTAAAGAGCATTTGCGTTATTTCAATGTTGTACGTAAGAAAAAACTTCAACTGTGAAACCTTTTGTGTCTTGGTATTTCAAGATAGTGTATTGATAAGGTGGGGAATTTATCTGTTAAAAATTGGTGTGGTCTGTGCTGCTCAGTTAAGGCTATTTAAGTGTTTAATAGTTTAACCTGGTCTGACATGCTTTAATTCTATCCTTCTCCAGGATGTCTGATTTTATTTTTTCCCCATACACACCTCTTAGATTTATAGGAGGTTCTAGGAAGACTCATTCAGATACATAGCACTTTCTTGTTCTTAGAAACCAATAGTTAAAAACAAACACTTTCATAATGCTCCTAACTTGATAGATTAGTGAAAGCAATGCTTCCTCTTTCTTTTTAGTGCTGTGTCCTTTTTATCTGTTCATATCTCTTACACTTTTGGGATCTTAAGTTGGTAGTCTTGCTTTCATGACCTATGAGCATACAAGTGCACAAAGCTAACACTTAAAAATGTAGTTACACATGTTCCTATGAACATCAAGGATACACTATGTCTAGTTCTATTTCCCCTGCTCTTTTGTGATGTTTGAAGACTGTTACTTTAAGATCACATCAAATGTTTTGTTGTTCATCTCTCTTCAGATTATGGAATGAAAAGAGAAATGCAAATAGTTAAAGGTCTGGTCTGAAGTAACTTTTCATTTCTAGTGAAGAAAAGACCCTACTACTTGCAACTACTGTAGTACAGCTTAGAGACAGCTCAACTTGCACATATATTTAATTATCAAAGTATTATTTTTTAATTCTTTTTGGAAACTGTTGGAAAGTTAATTAAATTCTTGTTAATTCCAGTGGCTTGGCAGCAGGAGAAGATAATGGACAGAGAGGATACATGCTGACATTTGTCATTGCTTACCTTCGGGTAGGTCACCTGCTGAA